AAAAAAAAAAAAAAAACAAAAAAAAAAAAATCAATGCTATTGGGACATCAGTGATCTATCTGGAATTGTTCTTTAATGATTTGCAATGGACACAAAAATGAGTCTTTCGGGCTTCATAATTTGGTCGAGTAAACTATGCCTAAGTAATGTGCAAATTATGCGTTCTAAAAAACATAAAATTTATTTTGCTTGGATTGCTGTGTGACAATGTGGGTGAATTACTTAAGAGCAAGGCACCAGAATGATAGCCCCCATAAATAAAATTGGAATTTTGACGCCGATTTTGAAATCGTACAGATCCACGCTCTTTGCTGCTATGGCCTACGACTGGCAAATATATTAACTTTAAAATTGGCCGGCTATGTCATCTTTTGTCTTATAAGAAATCCGATTGCCAGTTTAATAAGACACAAAATTATCATAAACAAAATTGCCAAGATTAATAATCTTACTTGTATTTGTTAAGAATAAAAGATTCATCGAGACTCAGCTGTTTCAACAACATCGTGATCATCTCGCCAACGTTTGCAGCAATCCATATTCGCGTTTGCTTACTGATAACACAGAGACCCTTTGGTCACTATTAATGGCTTTAGAGTATTATAGCGTAGATAATTTAGTTTAACGGTATTTAGGGTAATATAGGAACCTATATCTATTTAATTCCTTTAAGAACCTCAAGTCAGAATCAGTTCCGTATATAACGTCCATAAAAACGGGCACCGTGCATGAGTCATGCATGCTATACTACTCACATAGTATATACAAATAGATTCGTAAATATCTGAAAAGCTCTCAGTCAAAGACAAAAAATACGGAAGAAAAAAAAAAGAAAGATTACAGAGAAGAGAGTACTAAGTTTATATTTAATAGTCTTACTCAATTCTTCGTACGTTCGTTCGTTCGTTCATTCGCCGGTTTATTCTTTCTTTTTTTCATTATAACTTATAAATTGTTTTCAAATCAACTATTTAATAAATATTTTAGCTAATGATTTGAGTTAACAGCTAGAAAACTAGTGGCCCTCCGATCTCGTTCCTCTCAAACTATATGAATATGGCCAATATATTTACGTCAGATTAAGGGTATTTAACTATTAAGACAATACCAAGGTACAAGCAAATATACAGTTATACAGAAAAAACGAGAAGATCAACAATTGAACCATTCAAACAAAAAAAGGCCGGTCTTGGCTGCTCTTCCTGTGAATATTCTTAGCAGGAAGTCTTCAGAGACATAACTGGGTAATCCGATTTGACTGTTTGTTATCGGTGCCTTTGGTCAGAGCTTACTTTTATGAAACATGGACGCTTCGTTAAAATGAATCGGATAGGCGAGGGTCGTTTGAAAATACATTAAAGAGGAATTCTAAGAAAAAAGGCTACAAGATAATGATAATTTTTTGATTTTTATTGCCGCCATGTTGGCTGAATGTAAAGCTGCGGATACACGCTGCAATTTTTTCTCGCGCTGGCAATGCAATCTCAATTTTTCCGTTGCATTGCCAGCGCGAGACACAATTTCAGCGTAAATCATGCCCCGCGACTTTGAAGGCAACGATGTCTCGCAAAAATTGTTGCAGAAAATAAAAAAGATTCTTCTCTTGGACAGCATAAGTTAAAGCCTTTTCTGTATGGTGACTCTCACACGTTTAAAGGCTAGAAAACTTGATATCTTTAAACACTTAAAGACTTTTCGTTAGGTGAATTTCATATTGCATTAAAAAAAAAAAGAAAGAAAGAAAATAGAAAATACCGTAAGAGATTTAACTATTATCTAACCTTTAAAACGAGGTTGTTCCTGCTTCTTTTCTGATTTATTAAACAGTGGCATGGTTTATTAAACATGTTTTTTTGCTAAAAGAATGATTTCAGTAATCAAGGACGTTTCAAATAAAAATTTGAAGGGTGAAAATCTGCCAAAATTTCAAATTTAAAAAAATCACTGGCAAAAATGTACAGCATGAAATTAAGCAAGTATTGAAATTGTAAAAAAAAATTCTTTCAAAGGTATATCCTTGAGTTATCTATTCATAAATGAAACAGTAATGATNTCACTCATATTGACGACCTTGTTGGGAAGGCCCTGGTTCTCTCCTTGATGAAGATACAAGCAATCAAGAATAATGCTTACTTTTCCTCGCATTATATTAATTTCAATCTGTTCATATTTGCTTCGTTCTTTAGGACAGTTGATAAGCATCTATCACCTCTGGGGTCATGCTTGTGTTCGCCTCTATTAACTATGATTCCCGCAATTAAATCGAGGTTGTCGCTTGCGCCCTCGCTTTTAAAACAACCAAGAAATTGTTTCAGGAGGGCTTAGCTCCTTGACAAACATAGATTTAGTTTGATTTGATGTTGATATTTCAGTATCGATGAATCCCTTATCTAGAACGTTCTTCATCAGTCTACCTTCAGTAACGCTTGAACTTAAACCCTCTACTATAAAAAAATAATCTACATTTCTTAAAACAAAAATAGAGAAATAAAGCTTGTTTAATTTATATCGACTAACAAGAAGACACTGTTAGCAATAAGATCTAACTGACAATAAGATCTAGCTTCATGTAAGCAGCCCTTACAAAATCTTACGAAGCAACCTTTCAAAATCGGTTCTTTCAATCAATGCCCACAGTCACCTACAGCGACAGATAGAAAAAAAGTTGTTTGGAAGTTTTATCGCATGTATTATTAATAATAATCTGACGTCTTTAGAATCAATGTCGAAACCACTTCCATGTACCGCGATAGAAGTGGTTTATAGTATGTTATCAGTGGGAGGCATGTAGTTGGGAGCATAGCGTCGATAGGAGGTCTTTTGTGGTTTGTTTGGTCAGTGAGAACGTAATAGCAAATACAATGACGAACACAGAATGAGAAATGAGGAATCCACAAAAGGATTCTTGGCATAATTTTAGAGCAACTTATATTAAGAAAAGTAGCTGGTTTCTTTATCGAATATATCTGACAATTAATTCAAAGGTAACTCATGGGTGAGTAATGATGAAAAGGTAAATTATACACCGTGAAAAGATGAAAAAACTTACTGACGTTTCGGACGCTAGTCCTTCGTCGTCTTTTACTCCGACGAAGGACTAGCGTCCGAAACGTCAGTAAGTTTTTTCATCTTTTCACGGTGTATAACTTACCTTTTCATCATTACTGTTTCATTAGAAACACCGACGCAGCTCACACTAGTTTTTAGCTAGTTATATCTATTCATAAATGATGCAGATGCAGAAACATACGATAGAATTAATGGTTCCTATCCTATGTTTTAATGCTTAGACGTTAAGAATCAAGTTAACAAAGTTGCGCCTGCCAACTGCGTGTTTGTAGATGACATCCACAGCCCCCACTTGTCAAAGGCTTAAAGAATTACGTATTACATAATCAGTTTCATCCGATGCTAATGCCTAATAGATATATCGATTAATATGCAACATTTTATTGAGATATAAAGGGGGGGATATTTTTCTTACGACTCACTGCGTCAACCAAGTCGAGTGGAAGAGGGGAAGCCAGAAACTTCGAAACGTGGAGAAACGTAAGTTTTGTTAATATTCTTTAGCCTAGATTTTTATGGTGAGATGGTTTTACAAAAAAGGGACAGGACTAGGAGAAGTGTGTTGAAAGTAAGCTAAGTCATGTGGATAATGCAGGTTTAACTTAAGAGATGATAAAGACAGATAGATGTGAAAAAGATGAGAAAAAGAACGTTGAAAAAAACACAAAAAACACAACAACAAAGGAAAAAAAAAAAACCAAACAAAAAAATGACGGAACTTACCGAATAGATAGCCTGAGAGCGAATCAACGAAAGCAGTGATTAAAAAAGAATCATCTGGAAAGGATGAATGAATGCATACATGAATGAAACGAATAGAAGGGCAAGTTGGTTTGAAGCCTTTAATCAACATTCAGTAAGGGAGGGTAAAAATTGTTTTTAGTTGACCAGCTAAAAGAAGTAGAAATCCACCGACAAATAGTAGAATCCATCGACAAATTTGTGAGCAGATTTAGACTCGCGTTAAAGTTCTGTCAATTAAAAACCTCATTTTGACATTGGCCAATAACAATATCAGTTTTTAAATATTTACAGAGTGTCATAAAATCTTGCCATTTTAAGACTAATATCTTCTTCTAGTGAAGTAGAATGAATAGTTCAGTTAAAAGACAAATATACAGTAAGAACGGGATAAAATCTAATCGAAGATAATCTCTCCGAGCCTTTATAATATGGACGTTTAAGTTTTTCATTAGGTTTTAAAGCATATGCGCCAATACAGAGTGGCTTTCAAAGGGTACATTTTAGGCTATATAGTGAAGTTGGAGAAAGGTATTCAAAAATTAGACTTATATGGAGTCCAGTGACGATACCGAGAATCAAATATAAGGTTTTTCAAAGGGTAAATTTTAGGCAATATAGTGAAATTGGAGAAAGATATTCAAAAATTAGACTTATAGTGAGTCCAGTGATGATGCCGAGAATCAAATATAAGGTTTTGGACCAGCGAGCATCGATCATTGTTGAAACATGTATCAAATTTGGTCCTTTTTTCATTTGAATTGTCGGCAATAAAAATAAAGGTTAAAGAGCGTCGAGGATTGATTATTGCTGAAATAAGCGCCAAAAAACAAAGACTTTTTGTTACGTATGTAAGAAATACAAATAGCTACAATAAACAACATTCTTTGGCGCTAGTTTTTAATGGTAGAATAATTCTTGTATATTTGTTTTAAGAGTTTACGCAATTAATAATGGGAATCAAGGGTTGCATGGCGGTAGTTTACTCGCCTCTCATCTATGGGGTCTCGAATTCTTACGATTTACAGACTAAGTATCACATGTGAGTAGAGTTTGTTGTTAGCCTCTCCCTTGATTCGAGGATTTTTGTTCGTGTTCTTCGGTTTCCTTCCCTCTACAAAACCTAATTTCTATTTCGATCTATGAGTAAGCCCTTGCCTGACTTTGTTAAGCCCAGAGGTTGTTCCAGCCTGAGGGAATCGATAATAATTTCAAAAAGATTTCATATATTTAACTTGTTTTGTGAGTTTCTCTAGGTTCTCTAGGTTCTATCAAAGAAATCAAAGAAAATAAAATGTTCAGAGAATAAATAGGATAACTAACTGCAATGTAAATGCCATAAAAAATTAAGAATAAGTGAAACTAAAAGGTGTAAATGGAAAACATATTAAACATTTCTGTAAGCATATGGTTATGAAAGAGTAATTTCAGTTAACATGGAAAAAATTGACATTCATCTCAGATCGATAAGATTCGTGTTTCATTTTATCGATAAAAGGGAATGCATGACGAAATTTCAAAAGGATTGATTGAGTTTTCAGATTATTTGTTCATCAATCTGGGATCGTTTCATTTCTGGCTCAGCTATAACCAAATCAAGTCTGTCTAATCATTTTTAAGTTGGTTCTTTATCCTTAAGCTATAACATACCATATCAGACATCGCCAGTTTTAGCAAGGAAAGAAATTATTCTGAAGGGAATGATACGTGGTCTGACATGGGAATACATCACGGTCAAATAAAACAGTCTATTGCATCTAGAAGATGCACCAAGGAAGCTTAATCTTAATCAGTTAAGATTTTAAGTCGGTAAAACATATTAAGCAGTTGTATCACTTAAAACTCTATTTTTTCATGTTCCTTATGCGACCCCCTAAGCCTACGCAGATATAAGACTATTGCGGCTTTCCGTAGAGCAAATTTGTACGATTTAAAACAACTTTCTTCGAGCGCAAATCTTGGCTGAACTCTGAAAAAATCTGCAAACTCCTATTCAAGCCAATCACAACGCTTGACTCCCGCATGATTCTGAGTCTAAAAAAATTTCTTGTTTCTCAACAAAAATTTGAAAACATAGACAAATGTCTGGTAAACTATCTAAGACGTGTACCGCTTGGTAAAACTAGCCCAAGGATACGATAAGTCAAACGGAAAGTCCTAGAAATATGATTTCCCACCAAATAGTTAATATTAATGGTGTGAAAGTGCAAACACGGAGCTTAGAGAAAAATACCCAGATTTGTTTAGGTGCGGGGGTCTTAAATGTTTTTATTCGTACTTTTTTTTTGAATGAATCAATAGGTTCTTAATGAATAACTGATTAGCTATTGAGTTGGATGAGAAATAAATAGAATAAACAAGGTTGTAGGCTTTTTCAGCGAGTTTTAGATGAAGGTAATTGAATAAATGCATTAATTTAAAATCAAACACGTTTTCCTTTCCTTTCTTTCCTCTCTCCTAAACCAGTTTTGGGTATTCAAATAGTTACGTAAAACTACTCAGTAGCCTACAGCAAGATAATGTCTTGACTAGAGGTTACTAGTTTAGACCGTGTTGTATGTGTCGAATACCCAAGTAAATAACAAGCTAAGGAACAAGCGGGATTGAAACTGAAACAATGGGTAAAAAGGTTTCGTCAGAACTGTACTGACGTTATGGACATTAGTCCTTCAACCGAGTCAAAAACGCCTATAGCAAGGAAGACTCATTATCTATTTCGTTCTTATGTCGCCCCCTCATCTTTCGTACCCTCGCTACACTGTTTTCACCGACTTTTCTCTATCCATATCTATCGTAGTAACGGTATTATCAGCTAGACTACTGATAGCACGTCTCGGTATATATCCATATTCATTCAGTTAGGAAGCTTTTTAGACCTTGTGTCACGTTAACAAATGAATAGACATTATAATTGGTATGATCATTGTCGATGGGCCTTAGTACTTTCTTGTAGACTGTAACAATTACATCCCCGAGTCCCTGAGTAATAGCGATTATTGAACGAAATATCAAGAGAGAGAGAGAGAAAGAGAGAGAGAGAAAGAGAGAGAGAGAAAGAGAGAGAGAGAAAGAGAGAGAGAGAAAGAGAGAGAGGGGGGAGGGGGGACCATTGAGCGAAAAACGTGGTTTCTGAAATATCCTTCATAGTATAAGGTATTATCAGTTAGGATGGTTTGGCAAAAGTAGTTTTCGTAAGCAATAATGAACTGCCTTATTTCATTCTATATATTAAATTTATCATTTTGCTCCCTTCATGTAAAAATTGTGGGAGGGAGGGGAGAGCGAATACGCACTGTAGACCGTTACTAGATTTTTTGAGCTTCATAAACGGTTTTTTGTGAATATTTCTTCAAGTCCATATATTCAGTTATTGAGCATGCTCATTATTAAAGATTATCCCATAATTGCCATTACTATTCAATATACATCCGTAAGAAAACTCGCCGAACGTGAAAGTACATATAGATAACGTTATAGTCTTGTCACTATTAGAGTGCACGCACTAAAACCGTGAACATGAAATAGTACTAATTAGTACTTTTACATGCAGAATCCTTTGTTTTCTATTGTTTAATTATCACTATTTAGTGCTAAAAATTAGTATTTGTTTCACGGATTTAGTAAGAGCACTCTATCTATCTGTTTATCTCTTTGTTATCAAAAATTAATGCCTACGAAACAAGCTACGATCGTATAATACTCCTAAGCCAAGATTTCCTTTGAATTACAAGATTAAGATAAATATTTTCACTCCAAAAATCTCAGAACTGAGATATATACAATATCAGTGAATAGACTATGGGATAAGGTGCTATGGAATTCAGGAGGACTACGAGTGTAGTTATCTAAAAAGTGCCTATGGCACTTTCATTTTTCTTTTTTCTTTCCAATTATAAGTCATTCTAAAAAATATAATGAAACAAAGTTTCAATTCAGAGGATTTTCACCATATTTTTCGAAAGGTTAAACATGGAAAACTCGACCTTTTTTCGACTTCCGGCTGAGAGGAGAGATGAATTTCAAGTCCCCCATATACTTATGATGACAATACTGATAAAATGATAAGTAGCTGCGAAACCACTTTGTTTAGATTCAGTCACATTCAATGCTATCAGATCAACCATGGACCGCTACTGACTGATGAATATATTTGATATTATGATATTTAAAGCTTGGCGCAATCAGTTTTAATTTAGTATTAGAGAACAGAAACTGCGCTTACACTCAATATATCACGTCGGTTTATCAGTATATACAGGATTGATTCTGTTATCAGAACGTCAAATGTAAATAACTCGCTATCAATACTGCTATTGTAATTGTGCCGCTTTCAAACCTGTTATCGTAAAATGACACTGGCTTACATCGACATTATTACATTCTTTATAGTTTTTTCTCGTGCTTGTCCTTTTTCTTTTTTTCTTTTCTTTTTTTCTTTTTCTTTTTCTTTTTTTTCCCTACTAGTTTTCTTTCCTTTCCTTTTTTCACATCACATTATTTTCTACCCATTCATTCTTCAACCTATTCTACTTATTTCTGCCAGATACATATATTTGAATATTTTATATTCTTCTGGTATTCCCATTTATAACGAGAGTTTCTTCCATTTTTTCTACTAATTTTCTTTTCTTTCCTCTCTCACCTCACATTATTTCTACGCATTCATTGGCTTCAATCTGTTATCCTTATTTATATCAGTTTTATATATTTGAATAATATTTTGTGTTCTTCTTTTCTTC